AGTGCAGTGGCTGCTCCCGGCCACCGCAGCCTCAACCTGCTGGGCTCTGGCGATTCTTCCCCCTCAGCCTTCCACGTAGCTGGAACTACAGGCACGTGCGACCACGCCCAGTTAATTTTTGATTTATTGTAGAGATGAGGTCTCGCCAAGTTGCCCAGGCGGGTCTCGAACCCGCAGGCTCAGGGAATTCACTCACCTCAGCCTCCCAAAAGCGCAGGATTACAGGCTGAGCCACCAAGTCCAGCTTTTTTTTTTTTTTTTAATTGTAGAGACGAGGTCTTGCCATGTTGCCCAGACTGGTCTCAAACCCATGGGCTCGGACAATCCTTTCGCCTCCGTGTCCCAAAATGCTGGGATTACGGGCATGAGACACCGTGCCCGGCCCATACAATTCTGACATGGTCTTCTGATCTATCCATTCACTCATCAAATATGAGGGGTTACCCCCCAAAACTGGAATTACCTTTGGGAGAGTGGGCCCCTTGTAATACAGGCTTCCCCCGCTAGGTAAGTATTCTAGTAATTCATCGGCATCAGTGGACGAGCTAGCATTGCTGTGCATCACAATTTGGGAAGAAACGTCTGAGTTGTAGCAAACAGGTGACTGGTTCTTCTACCATGACAACACCCCTGCCCACACTGCGCTGTGTTCAGCAGTTTTTGACCAAAACCAGCATGATCCCGTGCCCCACCCTCCTTATTCACCCAATCTCATCCGAATGACAATTTTTTGTCTCCCCATGGAAAAAATCCACAAAGGGAAACGTTTTGCCAATATGGAAGAGGTGAAACAAAAAACAGCAGAAGCACTAAAAGGCATCAGAATAGCCGAGTTCAAAAACTGTTTTGAGCCATGGAAAAGGCATCTTGATAGGTGTATTGCATCAAACAATAATTGTACTTTGAAGGTGACTGAAGTTTAAGCACGTAAGAATAAATACAGGCTAGACTCGGTGGCTCAGTCTATAATCCCAGCACTTTAGGAGGCCAAGGCAAGTGGATTGCCTGAGCTTGTTAGGTTTGAGACCAGCCTGGCAACTTGGTGAGACCTTGTCTCTACCATAAATAAAAATTAGCTGGGCGTGGTAGCGCATGGCTCTAGTTCTGTCTACTTGGAAGGCTAAGGCAGATGGATCGCTGGAGCCCAGTAGGTCAACACTAGGGTGGCCATGAGTGTGCCACTGCACTCCAGCCTGGGCAATAGAGTGAGACTCCAATTCAATAAATAAATAAATACAGGCCAGGCGCGGTGGCTCACACCTGTAATCCCAGCACTTTGGGAGGCCAAGGTGAGAGGATTGCCTGAGACCAGGGGTCCGAGACCAGCCTGGACAACTTGGTAAGACCTTGTCTCTACAATATATCAAAAAAGTTAGCAGAACGTGGTAGTGCGTGCCTGTAGTTCCAGCTACTTGAAAGGCTGAGGCGTAGCCAGGCTCGGAGGCTCAGCCTGTAATCCCGCGCCTTTGGGAGGCTGAGGTGAGTGGATTGCCTGAGCCCACGGGTTCGAGACCCGTCTGGGCAGTGAGACCTCATCTCTACAATTAAAAAAAAAAAAAAAATCAGCCGGGCATGGTAGTGCAAGCCTGTAATTCTGGCTACTTGGAAGGCTGAGGTGGAAGGATCGCCGGAGCCCAGCAGGTCGAGGCTGCGGTGGCCGGGAGCGGCCACTGCACTCCAGTCTGGGCAACAGAGTGAGACTCCAACTCAAAAAAAAAAAGAAAGGCTGAGGCGTAAGGATCACCTGAGCCCACCGAGCAGGTCAATGCTGGGGTGGCTCTGAGCATGCCACTGCACTACAGCCTGGATGACAGAGTGAGACTTCAACTCAAAAAAATAAAAATAGCCGGGCTCGGTGGCTCAGCCTGTAATCCCGCGCCTTTGGGAGGCTGAAGTGAGTGGATTGCCTGAGCCTGCAGGTTTGAGACCCGCCTGGGCAACTTGGCGAGACCTCATCTCTACGATAAATCAAAAATTAGCCGGGCGTGGTAGCGCTCGCCTGTAGTTCCAGCTACTTGGAAGGCTGAAACGGAAGAATCGCCAGAGCCCAGCAGGTCGAGGCTGTGGTGGCCAGGAGTGGCCAATGCACTCCAGTCTGGGTGACGGAGTGAGACTCCAACTCAAAAATAAATAAATAAAATAAATAATAAAAATAAATAAATAGATAAATAAATACAAGCCAGGTATGGTGGCTCATGCCTGTAATTCCAGCACTTTGGGAGGTGTAGCCTAGAAGATTGCCTGAGTCCAGGGGTTCGAGACCAGTCCGGGCAACTTGGTGAGGCCTCGTCTCTACAATTAGTCAAAAAATTAGCCTGTGGTTCCAGCTACTTGGAAGGCTGAGGTGGAAGGATCACCTGAACCCAACAGATCAAGGCTGCGGTGGCTGTGAGTGTGCCACTGCACTCCAGCCTGGCTGGCAGAGGAGACTCCACCTCAAAAAAAAAAAAAAAAAGGAATTATCCCAATTTTACAAGTGAGTAAACTGAGGCATAGAGAGGCCAACCGCCCACTCGAGGTCAGAAAACCAGTGCCGGGCAGGCCTTTCCTTCCCCGCCCTGCCCTTGGTCACCCAGCCTCCTCTCTCTCCCAGACCCCTCCACCCTGCCGCCCCCAAGGTCCGAGGCCCTGGAGGCCACAGTCCCGCCAACCCCTCAGCCCTTTCTGCTGCTGCTCCTACTGCTGCTGCCCATGGTCCTCCTGCTGCCAGCCGTGGCCTGGTGCCAGCACCAGCGAAGGACAAGGTGGAGGACGCCCTGCCCTGGGGAGCAGGTGAGTCGGCAGGATGGGGTGGGGGTGGAGCGCCTCCTTCCTGCCCACCTGTGGCTGACCCCATGGGGCCACAGGTGCCCCCTGCCTCCATTCCCCAGGATGTGCTGCTTGTGGACCACTGACCTCACCGGGGCCTCATCTTGGTGAGTCCGTGTCACAGGCAGCGGGGTCTGGACTTTGTCTGGAGTGGCGAGGGGTACTAGGGAGTCATGGAAAGTCTGTGAGTGGTGGAGGGGCCGGGTCACCTCGAGGTGCAGAAGGCCCCTTCTGGGAACATGAAGACCACCAGGAAGAAGAGACTGAGAACCAAGGAGGAGGCTGGGGGCAGGCCCAGGGTGAGAAGACAAGACTCTAGCCAGGCAGGTGGAGTGGAGTGGGTGGAGCAGATTCAGGGGCAGGGATGGGGGAGACAGGGCTGGGCCTGACAGGCTTCAGCTGCACCGAAAACCCCAGGTCTGGCGCTGTAAAAGCATGGACAGTGGGGAGCCCGGGGGAGCAGAGAGATTAGGGAAGGATGAGCTGGGGAGGTGAGGCGGACTAAGGAGTGAGAGACCCTGGGACATGTGTGGAGGCAGGAGTTTGCAAGCCAGGACTGAGGGGGCTCGGGGCAGGGATGGCACTCCAAGAGGAGACTGCCTTTGCTAAGCCCTTCAGGTGTGGGAGAGCTCAGGGTGTTCCAGTGACTGGGGCCAGCATGTAGGGCAGCAAGGAACCATGGGAGGCGTGTGAGGGTGGAAGTTGTCTGAAAACTGGTGTGGGAGCAGGAGGGAGGAAGGAGGGGAGGTCCTGCAGGCCCACAGGCTTAGAGAGATCTAACAAAATATATTTGGCTGGGGGCAATGGCTCATGCCTGTAATCCCAGCACTTTGGGAGGTGGAATGAGAGGAATGCCTGGGTCCAGGAGTTCGAGACCAGCTTGGGCAACATGGCAAGATCTTGTCTCTCTAGAAGTCAAAAAATTAACCAGGTGACTCAAAAAATAGAAATAAATAAGCGAGCCAGGCTCTGTGGCTCAGCCTGTAATCCCAGCGCTTTGGGAGGCTGAGGTGAGTGGATTGCCTGAGCCCGCGGGTTCGAGACCCGCCTGGGCAGCGAGACCTCATCTCTACAATAAATCAAAAAATCAACCGGGCGTGGTAGCGCATGCCTGTAATTCTGGCTACTCGGAAGGCTGAGGTGGAAGGATCACCGGAGCCCAACAGGCGGAGGCTGCAGTGGCCGGGAGCGGCCACTACACTCCAGTCTGGGTGACA